CTGATTTGTCTTTATAATTTACTTCAGGATTTTTTCGTTGGTGAAGTTAGCATATTCTCTCCCGTTGATAAAAAGCGTAGGTGATTAGTAATTCGATTAGAATTCAGCGATTAGAAACTTTTCAGCAATTGTGTTTTTATTATAAAGATATTAACTTGTTCTTTTGTACAACGAATTGGTTCTTTCATTTAACTTTATCTACAATCATGAGGGACATCGTTTATGCTAAAATATACTAAAACCACCACTTTCTAACAGTATCGTCCGAAAAAGTGTGTTTACAGAATGAATGAAGTGGTACGGTGCATAGTTTTATTGAAATGAAAATGACAGAATGAATGATACATAGTTTTATTCATCGTACAAAGCTATAACAAACGTTATATAAAAATCTCTCTCTCTCAAATATTTTTCATTCAGAAACAAGATCTTGGTAGATCGGTCCCTGTCTCGCGATTTCATAATGATTCATACTCAAACCTGATCGTCCACTATCATTATATCTATTTTAATTATCTACTGTGCTCGTATGAGTCATAAGATAAATAGATTTCAAAACATACGGAAAAAATATGCTGTTTCCAAAATAGCTCAACAAATACGGATCAGTTAAATTTTTGTCTGCTGAAAGGACACATCTACACAATATACTGAACATAAAGTGAGAAGGAACCATTTTGATCAGATGTACCATTGATAGAGAAGTGTGCGTGACAAAGCTTATTTAAACTTAACTTGGCTCATTTATAAAAGATCTCATATACTAACAGCTACGCTATAGCTGCGAGACAGGGTAAAAAACGTTTCAAGAACGTATTGTAATTAGTTTTCCAGAGACGTTGACTTTCATAAACTAAGGCTTAGAATAAAAAAGGTCCAAAACACCATATAATCATATGTTCTTATTCTGAATATCTCTCAATTAAATTTCAAATGGGACTAATTCTCGCTCTTATTGTACTCTCTTCTTTGTTTTTCATAGTATTTGTTTCCTAACGATTGATATACATGTGAAAAACTAATAGACAAAACTTAAGGCCCATACGGATACGGATGCGTTTTTCGGCCTCAAGATAAACATGATGACAATATAAAAATATGTTGCTAGTTTTTAACTTTTAACTTTTACTGTATATAAAAGAAGTAACGTATCGTCAGACAATTTTGTTATGTTTTCAGGGGCAAGTATCATAAATAGAAAACTTAATTGATTCCTTTTCTTCGTTGCTTCTGCAAATGTAATAAACATAATATTTATTTTTCTTTGTCAAATATGTTTATGAACAAAAATATGAAATTATGTAGTATTTGTATTAGAAACAAGTGCTTACAACAAATGACATAGGTCATTTTAATAAAAATAACTTTCTTCATTTTGTTTTCTTCGGTAGGAGTATTGCATATTCGTTGGAAGACCTATGTTTTGAAAAATGTATTTTTATGATGAACGGAATGAATCATACATATTTAATTAAATCAACATATAGCGGAAAAGAAGTTCCAATTCTTTTTTGAAATAAAAGAGCGAGAACAATCATCTTTCACCGGAACTCAGGGTACGAAAACAGACATTATAATTTGTCATACTTATTTTCAACGTATATACTGTTACGATAAAAAAAAATAATAAACCGTCTTTTTCACGTAAGGCGAATAAGAATGAGTGGGGTATTGTTGAGACCGTTTAACCTTGACAATTCAATTTTAATAACAGAAAATAACAGAAAATCGGTTATAACCATGAATAAACATTGTTAAGCGGCGAACTCTCTTACTCTCAATCTTGATTTCATAAAAACACCCAAGAAGGTTATTCTGATAACAGACGCTATTTACACTTACTACATACTTCCGACTCTCTGTCAAGAATATATAACTTCCGATAATATAGAACAAACTTTTATTCATATTTTACTAATTATACGTAATTATTAGTTTTTCTAATTTTTAATCGAACGCATACGTAGATGTATATTCGAAATCAAAAACTGCACATTTAAATCTTGCTTCAGAAGGATGTTTTTTCTGTGAAATACTATTGGCGATCAACCATACCATGACAGAAGAACATCAATATTTGTGTAAAATAGGATTCAATATGTTTTTACAATCAACACTCATCGGGTAAAGCAATTTCAGCTTGGAGTTTATGAATATGTATTTGACATGTTGCTCGTAAGTTCGATCAAATATAGAACTGGCTTAACTTGATAATCCTGCTAAGAACAAAAAATAAAAGAATGGACAGGGATTCAGATAATGTAAATAATGTGAAACATCATTCATTCTTCTAAATTCGTATACGTTATAAAGATTATTAACGGTATCAGATCATTTCTCCCTATTGAACAAATTCACTATCAAAGTGTAGCTATTTTAAAAGATGCGAATAAGAGAAGACATAAAATCATTTCCAAACTACTATCTTTGATGGTTAGAAATCTAAGTTAAAAGTAATCAGCCGTACTGATAAATAAGAAAAAGGAGTGTAACTAACAATTACATATGTTAATTGTTCGAATATCGAAAGCATATGGTTTCTATATGTATATTGTAAAAGTGTTAGAAAAATGCTACTTCCATTCACTAAATATGCAATCTTTAACTACTTTCTCCAAATTTTTGAAGTCACTTTTTAGACTTTCATACTGTAGAACATAATCGTGAACTCTGATTCAATCATCTCGGTCAAAGAAAAAAAGATTACAGTTCTTCAATGAAATAAAGCATTACACGTTTTAACTCTGTATTTATTACCCCTATGTTTGATTTTATTAGCACTGTTATCTGTAATTATATATTTTTAATTTGTTTCATGAATGATCAGTATCATGAGCGTTGTTTATAATCAAATATAGCACCAATGAATATTTATCAGCGACATGTATAAGATTTTTTTCTTCCACAACTAAAACACATCTTCGGTCGATCTCAAAGTCTGACTGTCAATTTACAAATAATCAGATGTGAGCAGTAATATACTTTCTATGTAATTCTACTAACCGTGGTCTACAAAGAAACAAAGTAAGTTTGGTATTTCAGTAAATTATCGATATATATTATCATCAAACAATGTTGTTGATAATTCATTCAATACCATATAGATATTCATATAATAGATTGATGCTTACATTTTGAGTTGGTAATGATGACCGAGGAGAAGATGATTTTAGAGATAGTTATGTTAGTTTATGATCCAATACCACGTAGTAAGAGTCAGGAAGTGATGAATCACAAACTTCTGGTACATTTAAGAAAGGTTACCATGACCTATTAGAATAAATACTAGCACTAACAATATTGATTTTGACGTTATTCTCGATGGATTAAACACCACTATTGTTATAGAGATCTTTTTGCTTGTAATAAAGGTTTGCAACCAATGGTTGAGTCTGATGCTAATACCAAAAATTGATCGCCATCATATTTTTCGGAAAATATTATGCAACATATCACCAACAAACCTTTGTTATATAGGTAAAGAAGAGTGGCAAATTACATTCTACTTTTCGAAGTAAAAGCACACAACATCAAATTACATATTTACAGTCTGACAAGACTCTTATTTATCACAACAAGTAAACAATAGATTTGATTTACTCTTGTTTACACTCTTTTTGTTTCATGTCTATACTTTCTTTTATATTGCGTGTTGTTCTTCGATATTTATGAAGTTGCGTTTCTTATTGTAAGTTTTTCCTTTTTTCGTTCAGATCCATGGATCAAATTCAGGATATCATCCAGTTCTATAACTCTATTACCAATATTTTTTGGCATATCAAACATTTTATGTAATGATTTTATTTTTTTCTGATGTTGATGATTCTATTATTCTGATACTAACTTTTATCTGTTATATTCATTTGCTTGTTGTTCACATTCTGTCTGTATTTCACTATAATACAACTCTAAGTAATGTTCCGCTCTATCGATATGATATATGTGTGTTAGATAACAACCATTGCTCAATAATGAATTAAATATACGATCTAAATTAATCGATAACAATTTTGTTACTGAATACTTATCACAACAGATCCGTACGACAAACGATTTATAATTTTTCCCATTGCTGATACATTCTCAAAGCTAAACATTGATATTTCATTGCGGATGGTTAAGTGGTATTCATCATTTAGAAATACCCTAGATACGAAAAAAGCTTCAAACTTTTCATTCGGTCAAAATGATATCAGAGATTAATAAGTGTATTTCATCTTCTATGCATCAGCAGTGTCTTGCGTACTAATCAAAAGAAAATAATTGTGTGAGCATGTTTATATGTGGTAAATCCGTTCGAAAGACAAAAAAAAATCAATAACAACATAAAATCGAATAATATCACATGCATGCATCAGTATCAATAAAGAAAAACAAATAGTAGTGAATTAATTCATGTGTATGTGTGTGTGTGTGTGTGTGTGTATGTGCGGTAACAAATGGTGAGCATGTAACATTAAAAAGTTATAAATAAAAGCAAAGAATAATGGAACTAGATAAAGTTAAAATAAAAACTAGATTTTACAGAGAATGGTTACAGCATTCAAGCTTTCAACTTATCAATGTTTAACCATTTTTAAATTTAAAAAACATCATTTGTACTTAAGCTCAAACAAAATTAAATGCAATGAAAAATATGAATTTGACTTTTTTCACACAAAAATAAATGTATTTTTGATTGAGTTTAGATTAAAAATAAAGTGAGAAAATGTACAAAAAAAAGTCAAATAGAAAAAGAACAATAAAATTTTTTCATATATAAATATAAATGCAGATGTGCGCAATATTAAAATGGAGACTAGACATAAAAAAGAAAATACATTGTAATGACTTATGTATAAACAAAAAAAAAAGGAGATAGAGGAAAATGCACGAAAATATTGATATCCTTATATTGCCAAATATATACATATTTACTCTATTCTATTCTATTCAATTGAGCGGGACAAAAGGAACATATCTGAACATTTGGCACGGAACTACTCTCAAGCAGTTAACTCTTAACTATTTGAAGATATCAAATAAAATAGTGGACAATATTCGTATATTTTTGTCAAATCATCAAATTTAATTGTCTCGATTGATTTAAACAATTGTGTTGCATTCAAATCTTCTGGTAACTTTGTTAAAAATTGTAAACAATGAAATGTGTCCATATTTAATAGACGTTCTTCATATAATGCAAGAATTCCTAACGCTGTTCGAAATACAAATTCATCACCATCTCGATAATAGATGTCCCATATTCTTGATACAACATCCAATGGTAAAGATTTTGAATATATAGTAAAAAACCAATCGAATGCAAAATAATTTGGTTTTATTGACATACGATAAAAATGTTCGCTCAATTTTGGTAGATAGAAATTTAATAATTGTTCAAATAATAATAAATATTTTTCGATATTATTAAAACGATAAAATGTTTGAAAATAGGGACGTTGTAGTAAATTAGAAAATGATACAAATGAATCGTACAAGTCCATATTTAACAGAAACATAGCAGCCAAAAATGCTTGACCTTGTACGTAACCAATTTCAGGCGATAAATAAACATATGTACATAATAATATTTCTAAATAATCATGATAAGGACCATTTCGTTGAAATAAACCAAGTTGTGGAAATGTTCGAGAAACATCGAGTTGGATAAGTTCAACAAAATTTGTTAAACTCTCAATACCAGTTTCTGGTCGGGATAGTAAAGTGAGTGAATCACCCTCATTATGATTCGATCTTGTTGTTGTACTCTAAATAAACAAATAGGAATGAAAAAATATGAATAGATGGTGTTCGTCTCATACCTTCGATGTTTCAATATTATGATGTTTCATTTCGTTTAATTTTTCACGTGCAAGATGTTCCAGTTCAGAAAATAATTTAGGTGTCAAAGCCATTTCATTGGCGATAGACATTTTCCAGATTTTCCCGCGTATCCCTAAATGAAGAAAAGAATAGTGACATAATAGAAGAATTTTAAATATTGTGAAGAATTTGAGGGTTACTGAATTACAAAACGTCTTTGTGAATCAAATTATGTTTTTAATTCAAACTAAAAGAAGTATTCTCAACATTGTCAACTAGATTTTACTAGATAGTACCAGGAAAATTTTTGATATTCGTTACATGACAAAACGAAGAATTAAGTCTATACTTAAGATTGTTGATAAACCAGTCGAGACTTAAGTGCTCGCTTAATTATAAGTGCTACTTAAGAATATTGATGCAACGATCCCCTATTTTCTAGATTATCTTTTCTCTTTTCTTACTGGGCGGTAATCCATGCCACCACAATTTCATTGCTTTCGTATTTATACTATTTTCTTTGTTAGTTTTAATTCCATGTTTTTCCCAGTACGGTAATATTTCATTTGTCCATATCTTTAACGATTTCGAAACAAATTCTTCACGCTTCAATTTTAATCGCCGACATTTTTCGTCTTTTTCATCATACAACAGTTGTGATTTTTTGGCTTCAATACACATTTTTTGATATTGATTATGATGTTTCAGGGTTTCTTCCAATGATTTAGGAGGTAAATTAACTGGACGATTTTCAAATACAAGACCAGTGCTGCTGATAACATCTTGAACAGGTTGTTGAGCGGCATGTTTTCCGCCTGGAACGAATCGATTTGACAAACGATGTAATAATCCCAACGCAGAAGTTCCAAATGATGAAGTGGAATGTTGTGATTGAGGTACGATAGACTGAGTAGAAATTCTGACGTTTTTTGCCGAATCTGGACTGATTGTATGAATTGTAGTTGTTATTGAAGAGGATGGTTCCACTGACAAATCTGTTTCTGATTCTTTTATCTGTTCTACTGCCACCTTTTCATTTGACAAAACAGGATATGGCTCTTCAACTGACAATGATCTTTTCGTATTTTCTTTTTTCGATGGTAAGAAAAAATTTGGTACAGCTGATGTTAATGTTGCTGTAATAGTAGAACGAGACGAGGGCTGCTGAGATTTTTGTTGTTCGTCATTTACGAGCGACGACTGTGTTTGACTAAAATCACAAAAAGACAAGACATATAATCGAAAGTAAATATCTGCATGAGAGACGCTTTTTTCTCACAACTTAAGAGAGCGTTTCGGAATATATTCCACTCTTCCCCTACTCCGGTACTAAGTCCACATTATTTCGATCGATTATCATTCCTCAATTTTGTTCGTCAGATTGTATAGTTATAATACAAGATAATTTCGAATTATTATATATAACTGGCTTGTTTTGTAATTACATAAACGTATAACGAGTAAAGATATTTTTTCCTCTTTAAAATTGATGAGGTGATAGATAAAAAAGCAATGTTTCTATATTTTAGGATGCATGAGTATTTTCAGTTAAATTTTCTCTTTCTAGCCTTTTTCAGAATCTGAACTGTTTTATAAGATTATTTTTGTGGTGTAAGACTCATTATCATCGAAAATTCGAGATTATTGCCAATACTCGATTTAACCACTACAAAAAGGTCCAAAATTGTAAGCAAACGCCCTTTCAACCCTGGAGGTTGAAATTGTCTGAAACGTGTTTTCAAATAAAATTTACTGTTCGCCTAAAGCATTCTCACATATCACAAAAGTTAAAATACTGCTGGTATTTCAGTCTTTCGCGAAAAAGAAGGTTCGTATTCTCTGTATTTAATCAGATTTTTTTAACCTATTTTATTTATAACATATAATGAGCAGCGAGATCAATCACGAAAACGAAACGTTTTTGATTAGATTGTCAGAGGAAGAGGACAGCGAAATGTAGCGTTCTTGATCTCAGTTTAGGAATTATAGAATGACAGGTCTAATCTCTTCAACAAACCTACTTTTGTTTTTTTTACCTACATATCACGGAAAAAGAGAAAGAATTTTCCCACAAAACTGCATTATGTTCATTTTACTCCTTAACCTTTTTTACGCATTCAGCTCGAAGAAAGTTAGACTTTTCAGTAAAAATTGCCCGAAAAAGCTGAAAGACTAGAAAGAGAAAATTTAAATACTCATGCATCCTAAAATATAGAAACATTGCTTTTCTATCTATCGCCTCATCATTTGTAAAGAGAAAAAGATGTCTTTACTCGTTATACGTTTATGTAATTACAAAACAAGCCAGTTATATATAACAATTCGAAATTATCTTGTATCATAACTAAACCGACCTGATGAACGAAATAGAGAAATAATAACCGACCGATCGGAATATGTTTTGAAACACTCTCTAAGCAATAACTGCCTCTGTCCAAGACAGTTTTACCATATATTTAAATATTTTGTTGTTGTTTGTTCATCTGGTGTTTCGGACTCGCTTCTGGATCTTTGCTGTTTTTTTGTCGGTGTTACACTAACAGGTGTTAGTATTGTAGTGACTTTCTGTTCTTGATTAATACTGTTATCTGTTAGTTCATCCTTTTTCTTTGACGAGAAAAATGCTGCAATAAAACTTTTCTTTTTATTAATCTTTTCATTATTATCTATTTTAGAATTATTTTGTTCAGCTGAAGGTTTATTCTCAGATTGCGTAGATTCATTGCCACAAACTTCATTTAATAATACACTATAATTTGAGATGGAATAATTTGATAAACTGGCTGTACGTGAACGAAACGATGGAGCTAATGATTGTAAATCAGTTATAGATAATTGTGGTCCTTCTTAACGATAGAAAAAACAACAACTGATCACTACTCATTCTCGTATGAACATTGGATCAAACAGAAATGTTTTTGAGTAAATTTCTGTAAACTATAAAAACTGATATCTTTTTGGTTAAATACGGAAGAAAATTTACATAGTACAAAACTATAAGAAATCATAAAAAAGCGATTAAAACAATCTAAAAAGAACTAGGAAACTAGTCAGACCGAGATAGGCATATGACTTACTATATTTTACTTTCACATCATTTGTTTTTAAATCTATCGATGATGGTTGATAGTCGATACTTAGATTATCATCGTCTACTGAAAATTCAATTCGTCTCGATTGATTTTTTTGTTCATTAATGCTTAACGGAGATGAACATGATGATGAATTTAATTTTTGAAAAGTATTATTCGTATTTTCTTCATCCACTGTTACAATTGATGCATCATTCATATAAGATGATGTATTAGGCGTATTTATTGTTTTATAACCAGAATCGAGTGAATTTGATTTTTGAAAATATTGTTTTATTTTTGATGTATCTTGTTGGATGATTGCAATCTGTTTTGATGATGAACTGTCAAGCGATAGAGATGATTGTGTGAGAGAAGAAGATGAATTTGATGATGAAGTAAAATTGATATGTTGCTGCTGGCTGTAGGATGGAGCTGTGGTTAATGAACGACATGAGCGAGAAGCAACAGAATAAGTATTTAATGTTGATGAATTAGAGCGATCAGTCGAATGTGAGCGTAATGTGGATGAGCGAGTCATAACAGGGAATACAGAGGAAGAAGTTAATAAAATACTCGTCATATTATGCTTATTTTCTTTAAAAAAGAACCATGATCTAAAAATATACAAACGCAATTCAGATTGATAAGTTAACAAAGGAACGGTTAAAAAAAACTAAAATTAGATGTAAAATGATATAATCTTTCTTTCTCCCATTTTCAAATGTCAGAAGACTTTAAGTGTAAACGTTATCTATTAAAAGAGCAATCAATCCTTACATGAGCAAAATAAAATTTTTTAAATAAAGAACGAAAGAAAAACAAACGTGTAACCGACCATTTACGATGAGTCTTTTGTGATAAACATCCCCAAACGATTTTATGATTATGTTCAAATCTTTCCATTTTTAAACTTGTTCTAGTTCAGAAGCAAACTAAAGTTCTGTATTCTTTCCATTCACTGCTTTTACCGTTTGGTAATAATTTGATAGTGTTTTTTCAAAAATGAAGATTAGACAACTATTTCATATTAGTAAATCGTATCTCTGAGTACAATACGACTATCTATTCTTAAATCTAATACTACAGAGTAGTTATATCTCTTAATGTATCAAAATGGTTTGATCTAAGTTATGTAATTTCAAGTGATTATCTCGTACATAATACGCAGTTTATCACTACCAATTGGTTATGTAATCGAAGTAAAAACACTTGCCCAAAGAATCAGAAAATCTAATATACGGGTTTAAAAAATAAGTTATCATTTAACTGCGGCTCAATAAGCTCTGATGTTCAAACATCAGTTCAAGCCTACAGTTCTAATTCGAAAAGCAGCAATTATTTCAGCGAAAAACTCCACTTTTTTCTCTAATATTCTCTCCCTCATCATGGTTATATTTAAAACCATTTCAATTAAATCATGCTGGGTTGTCTGTTAAATTGGAGTAGTGCAAAGGATTTAAATCAGGACTGTTTAGTGGCTAATAGTCTTTGGCGATAAAGAAGGGAAAATTGTCCCAACACTATTGTTAAGTTAATTGATGATATGAGATTTCGCGGTGTCTTGTTGAAAGATCCGATCGTTACAGTACTTAAGAGCTACGAGAAATACTGCTTGCCCGAGTCGAGACTCCCGGCAAAACTCCCACGAGAGTCCTGTCACGGGATTCTGAAGGCGTCAGGTGGGACTTCCAAGGGATTTCTCAGGACTCCCGCGGAACTTTGAGAATTTTGAGGACTTTCGTTGGACTCCCGCAGGACTTGAAAGTTTCACAGGAGTCCTGAGAAATCCCTTGAAAGTCCTACCTGACGCCTGCAGGATCCCGTAACAGGACTCTCGTGGGAGTTTTGCCGGAAGTCTCGACTAGGGTGGACATATTCAGCACGATTCACTGTCTCTTTATCCAAAATCAGCAACAGCGTCAGCACTTTCGAACATGACTTTTTAAGGAAATTTTCGTTTCTGCCTAAACCTTCCCTTCTTATCGGCTTCATCACGGTTCACTGCCCGATATATACTGATGTCGAACGTCTTCTCATCCGAAAATCCAATTTCTTCTTTTCTGAAATTGTTTCGTACCCAATTGGCGAACTCCGTCAACTTTTATGAACATCGGTCAACAGTGGTTCGATTGGTTTCTTGTCGGGTCGAACTTCCATCATTTTTCAGTATTCGACGAGCACTTGTTCGAGAAATATCCAAATCACTGACTAACTTTCGAGCTGTTCTCCCTGATTCTTCCACTTTAATCGACCTTCACTTTTCGTATAGTCTCCTTGATTCGAACTAGTGCGCGGGTGTTTAAGTGAATTTAATAGTTTGATAAATTCTCGGGGATCATTTTTCACCATCGTTCTATCATCCGAGAGCACCGTTAAAATCACGAAAAGTCGTAGAGCCGTCACCGTTTTCGTGCTAGAAAGAACAACTTTTTGAATATCTTTACTCTTCATTATCTGAAAAGGAAGGGCACATGTAAATATAAAATAAAGCGTATATCCTTGTGGAGAATTGAACGGGGAATCGTTTAAAAAAATGATCAAGTTTAGAGAATGAAAGCTGACAGAGATATTGATGAAATACTGATACCGTTATTCTTTATGGCCTATCCTTTATATTGAGCTTTTTTAAAAGTAAGTTTGCTTTTAACTCAGCTGATATGAGGAGAAATGTTTTTAAATGACACATCTCCTTTTTTCTAGAAAAGCAGCATAGTTTTTTATGAGCTAACCGATTTGATATATGTCGAGACTTTCAAACTTTTCTTTATTTTCGAAAGATTGAAAGGCTTTTTATAGATGATGCTTTCGGATTCGATGGATATAAAAAATCTTCCTGACATTTTTGATAGCACATCAGAAATTAGGTTGACTTTTAACTAAGAATAAATTCAATGAGCGCACATTTGCGTGGGTTAGAAAATACCTTATTGTATACAAGCAGCATTATCCGTATAAATAGAGCAAAACTGATTTACGCACCTACCAAAACCTATTAATATTGTTTATGTCACAAAACACTTGATTCGTACTTTTCTCTTTTTTTCTTATTAGAAAGAAAGTAAGCGATAAATAGAGAGAAACAGTTTGTATCCCACTACAGTCATCAGTTTAATCAAGCGTATGCATTCATTGGTCAAAAACTTGACCAATTTTAACCATATCGATGTCAGCCACCAGAGACCGTCGCAGGGCAACTTTTTTTTTCCCTATCCTGTCATGCCGCCCTCCCTGTCTTGCCCTGCTCTGTCAAAAAATTACTAAAATTTGTTTGGCTCTGTCTGGCTGGGCAGACAGGGCAACAGGGGAGCCCTGTCCTGCGACGGTCTCTATCAGCCACTCACATGTATTAAAGTAAGCTGAAAAAGAAGCGTCTAACCTCCTTCTTTTCAAGTAGTCATATCGATCTATGAACTGCTTGAAGCTGCAGTTTTGTAGATCGAACCTTAGGCAAGATTCCGAAAGAAACCGCACGGAAATTTCGTTCTTTCGTATAAATTTTTAAAAAAAGGAAAAAAATTAACGATTTTACGTTGTCGCAATTCGTTACAGTTATATAACAGAAAGATATTTACATAATCATATTGCTAATCAGCTTTTCCAATGAGTATTAAAACAAACTACAAAAATATTACACAAACATCTTTTTATTTATAAAACTAATCTAAATCGGATAATCACTGACTATTGTTAACTATTCTTAGATTAATCTGATTTAGAGTACATGTGCAGAATTCGGGGCTCTGTGTACACAACAAAGGCCCTTCATTCAATATTAAAAGATGTTCGAGTCAACGAAAAAATGTATCATTATGAAAAAAGAACATCTTTACTATTGTATGACTTGACATGTATTTCGAGTATCTTCTGTTGACAACCCATACGTTTTGACAACCCATACGCATGCACGTTAGTTCAATTTATTCGGGAAAGAGTATTCATTCGCTTGCTTGTTGATTCCAAAAAAACATTTGTCGATTTGTACTAATCAACTAATGCCATCGATCCTTCACCATGAAGCCACTTCAACATACTAATGCACACGCGTTTACAAGTAACATGAAAGTTTCAGTATATGAAATTTTCAAAATAACTTTATTACTATAAAAACGCTTTGGTGGTTTACAATAGCCTTTTTTGTTTCTTCTTGGGTGAACGTTATTTAAAAGCAACATCTGGCAATAACTAAATTAGTGTCTATTTTCATGATATCTAGTTTTTGTCAACATTTTGTTAGTCGTCTCTAAAGTCATGGACGTTGAGACTGTTTATTTCTCGCGATCTACTATTTTAATCTTTCTTTCATGTACCTGTATTTGTAGGTGACATTTTGCTTGTAAAGTGGACTACTGTCACTCGGTACGGTGTTCTATAGAAAACAAATATTCAATAAGTGGCTGAATTTATTGAGAGAGATTGCCATCTATTTAGATGGAAATGGACAAGAAAAAGCGAACATTTCTGGTGTACATTCAAAATACCAATATGACTAGAAAGTATGTTAAGTATAGGATTTTTGTAGTAAGTAAGTTTGTATTGGATTTTTGGCACTGTTGACTATGCATGTTTAAGAGCATTAATGAATTCATCAAAGAGTTTGATATTTCTATTTTGCGATGAATAACAATATTGTTTTCGAAGTGTGTTATTAGTAAGTATCTGACTGTCCTGTCCGCTGCAGTTGGCGAACGATAATTATAGATGACAGATCAGTACAAGAGAGAAAGAAATTATTTCATTCCGTATTTTCTTCAAGAATTCGATCCAAAATTGTTGAAGCAACGATGTGCCTTTTGATCTAGTCCTTCGTTTTTATTCACAATATAATAAAAGAAAGCAAAAAATAATAACAATATCACGAAAAATATAAAAGATTTTTTTGTTCATCTAAAATAGAGAATAAATTATTACAATTGTATATTTGTTTTATAAATATAATGTACTCAACTCTAGCTAATAATCATCTAGACCCGCCCAATAATGCTCGGTATAACCTTCTTTTGTATGATCAAGTAAAACTTTTCGTCGACTTGTACAAAAACGATATTTATCTTGCACTTTTTGTATCAAACCAACGTCATCCAAGTCTTTCTCTAATAAGCCTGTTAACTCTTCAATAGCCGTTTCCAAATTTGACTGATTGTCTTCGAATACCTATAAAAAGAAAACACAACTTATTATTTAACCATCACCCATGAGAGTGCTCGTTGATCTGGGCAGTTTCATAGCAACTTTCAACGATAAAATTAAATTCAATAATTTAAAAAAGGTAACATTTTGTGGTTCTTTGCAAAATGCATCAATATGTTATTTGTGAAAAAATGAATGAATTTTATTTTTCAAAGCTAGTATAAACGCATGGAAAATACAAAAAGTCAAAACTATATTTAAGATGGTTTGTCTCAAGTTCGAAGAAAAAGAGAGAACTAAGCATAATATAATAAAAAAGAGAAAGAAACGTAGAGTACTATCAAGATAAACAGGCTGAGATAGGTAGGCGTTAGCAAAACCTATACTGTCCGACAAGTATGGTAGCTAGTGACCTCAAACTTACGTGCTTTTGCAGAGGACACTTTGGGCTATCTAACCATGTTTTATCTTGGCTTCGATACCTGGTGATTAGTGGCGGAGTCAGGAGTTTGATTTAGAAGGGGCTCAGCCCAGAAATTTTCTAAACTCCGTCAGAGGTAAACTAATTTAAATTTAATGCTCGAAATCTATAAATTTTTTAGAGGGGGCTCAGAAAGTTTTAGAGGCTCTCGCTCATAGCTGGTTCCGCCACTACTGGTGATCTCTTCATTTTGAACAAAAGTTGAGGAAAAAGGTTATGTCTCGTAGAGAAAGTAAAATGTTTGCCTTTTCTGGTTTACTTCAAAGTCTAACAACAGGTACGTTTGTTGAGTTACTGGCATTAATTCGTGAGGATTTTTTCTAAGTTACTCCTTCGTGAAATCTGTAAAATTTCGTCGGGATTGATGGAAAATAACTCTTGCCTAAAGATAAAAAATATCGCCGGATACTTTAACACAGACAACTCGCAGTGTTACTGCGCGGAATCCTTCGGGATTCGTAGCTGTAAAAGAAAAAATTGTAATAAGATAGAGTTATTATTACTAGAGATGGAAAGAGAAGAGCGTTGAGTTGCAGAACGAGAAAAAATAATCCATCGACATTTGTCCATATTAAGAGTCATAAAATTTTGTTCACACTAAGAGAACTTCATTGCCCAACAAATCACACATATAAAATACGTCGACAGCAAAAAAGATTGAAAGTTTGTGAATAAAATAGATGGAGATCTTTGCATCAATATGTAGCGCATACTCTGAGTTATAATATCCTATTGTAAAATATATAGGCTAATATGCGAAGATATGCATTAGTTCAGAGACTGAGGTACGCCGCCCGCGCTAGTTTCGACACAAGTTTTTCATTAGTTTATAGCCTCGGGTGTTCATTATAAAATGATGAAAACCACAAATCACTACCCGTTTTAATTCTAGAACGCATAGGTGGGATCATATACGACCCCATGCAATAATGTCATTGATAATCAATTTTATTCTGAACTTTTCAAAATTATAATCATTAAATTATAAAAGGCAATCTTTACAAATCACTTGCCGATGTTCAGCACATAACCTGCAACAGCATTTCACGTAATTGTCTCGTGAAGGAATCATTTTCCAAAAAATGATGAAGTAATTAGTGTGGTGCGCCTTATTGTAAGGCAGTTTTCATGGTATTCCAGGGGTTCTGAAGCAAACTTTTTTAGCTCAGTTTGTAGAGAATTGAATTCTATAGCCGATGGAAGGATCGGAGGTCTAGTCAAATTGGTTTTATTTGAAAACTTTCGGTTTTAGCAACACTATTTTTCCACTTGTTTACCTTTCAAAAGCTTCAGTTTCAATACTAAAAATTTAAAAAGCAATCTCTACAAATTGAGCGCAAATAATCATCGATCGTTACAAACAATCGGTGAAAATAAAGTGTTTATCTGTTTCGTAATAAAACAATATTTTCCATGTTTGGGGGCGCAGACGATCCCAACTATGTGTTCTAAGGTTAAAAATGTTATTCACACAGTATTAATGCTTTTAATATTTTGCAAAGAAAACTATTTACATTTTTCTGATGAAAGCTCCTAATTGGTTAAGATTATTTCAATATTTTTCTAAAGGTGTTTCGTCCTTAAGTCCACAGACCTACTACGGTTATGCAAATTGCACTAGTTCCACATTTTGAAAGAAAAGAAAAATTCTGTACGGTCAAAGCCGATAGCAAATGCTCGATCTTCTTCTCATAATATTATTTTTGTTAACATACCTGTGACTGATTTGTTGGATACAAATAAAAAGCAAATGGATAGGTAAACATTAATGTGTGACGGCATTCTTTTAAACAATTATATGCCAACAAAAATGCTAAAATTAAAGAAATGCACAATCATTCAAAATTCTTAGTCATCATCACTCCTCACTTACTTTGTTGATCGGCATAAGACTTTTTTTGTCGCTGCATTGCTTCAATACGTTCTTGTATTTTTTCTAGTAATTTATTTTCTAATGCTGCTGATTGGAAATGATTAATATAACGTTCATAATAATGTAAATAACGTTTTAATTCTGATCTGGCGTTCTCTTGCTTTTTCGTTGTTTCGTCTTCAATAAATCGGTTACAATTATGATTAGCATGATCTTTCCAATCACCAAAGCATAACCAACAAAATTCATGGTTACAACCGGCTTTGCGGCATGTCATATGATTGCATCCACCTAGAAATTATCAGAGAGAAAATCAAGCACATTTATAACTGTATTGCGTTTCACATAAGAATGAGCTTAGAGTCATTTTGTGGTAGTTTCTGGCAGGTTAGTCCGTGCCACACTTCAGATTCGACTCTTCAATAACCCATTTGTTGAGCATTAACGATGAACAACTAATCAGAAAGTGTCTTAAAAATCACTTCTTCTCTAACGAGTTCTCTAACGAAATCACTAATCTAATGTTTTTTTTTGTATTTTTTTTGTTTTTTTAAAATACAAATTAGTCAAGATAATGGTTGATCATGATCAAAACTCACTAAAAATAGACTTTGTCCGGTTTATCATATCTGAAAACGGTTTTTAAGACAAGTTATGATAGAATAAGCTTCGCTGATCTTAATCATACGTTTACGTTTAATTTTCACTATTCTCATTTTTCTAAAAATTGAAGTCTTTATCTTGATTCAACACTCCTCTTCTATTCTTAAACCAATCTAAGGAGGTGTCTAATATTAATATTCTTGTAATCCATGTCCTCTTCTATCGATCTATACTAACAGCATCTTTACAGGTCCAGTGATTTTTGAGAAATAAATTTTCTTGTGAAAGTCACATATTTTGGTGGTCAAAAGTGGAATTCCAAGCTAAATTATACAACTAGAACTAACCGTATCTATCACTAATAAAAGCATTTATCTAACAAACTGTGCTCGATGTCAAAAATTCAAGTTTCAGGACGAAAATTTATACAATTATATACAAGCAAACACGATAGTTTATGCGAACTTGCTACGAAACTGAGCCTTCTTTGATATTAAACACTTCTGTATACTAAGTTCTCTTTTCGATTATTTTAAAAATCAGATGAAAATCTAATTGAATGCATACGTTTAGTATAAGAAAAATAAGCAACTATCTTCGTCTATTCACCGTTTTTTTCGATTGCTGTGTGACATTTTGGACAATCTTTTGTATTTGCTTCTAGCCAATGACATGTTTCACTTTCATCAAAACATTTTTTTTGCCATTTTTTCAATAATGAACATTGTATTGGATCATGCCATATTTCTGTACAAGCAAAACAGAAATTTGTTTTACAATCCGCACACGATATTAATTGTGAGCCACAATTACTTGATTTTACTGAAAAAGAAAAGATGAAGATTTACCCACACACTGAGAAACTTCTGATTTCTCGTAAAATCGAAACCTTCTGAAGAATGTTATTGTGTGAGAACGATCTTTTTTCTGCACATTCGATTTGTGTCTGTGCACAAACTTTTTAAAGTTTATACTTAGTAATAGATGCCATACCTTTAATGATTTTATCACAGCCACGTCCCGGACAAAATTTTGTTTTTCGATTATTTTCAACAAATGTCTCCACCATTAAACGTTTAAATTTTTGTCTAATTTCATCGGTATCAATTAATTCTAATACTTTATCATCTTCAATTAAATAATTACATCTTGATGGACAGGTCAGTGTTTTACCACAATTATCTTGAAGTATTTTCTTTTTTAAATAGCTTCCCCAACAATTCAAACAAAATATATGTCGACAAGGAAGACTATATGTTTCATGTACTGGATAATAGTCACAACATGTTTTACATAGAACTACATCGGAATTTTGTGAAATATCATGCAAAAGTGGATTATCACTTGGTGATAGTGGACTTTGTGAATTGGCGTTTACTGGTGTTTGAGGAAATGGATTAACAATATTTAATTTACGAAATAAAGCTGATGAATCTTCGTAAAAACGTTCTGTTAATACATTTGCGTCCCAATGAAAATTATTTAATAATAAACGAACCATTGTTGGCGATGGTAAATTCATTATTTCGTTGACTTCATTGGAAATTTTTTTCATTTCTTTCAATGCATCATTCAATGTCAATTTGTAGTAGACCATTTTTTCATAACCATAGACAGTCATTAGTGATAAATATTCTGGAATCATTTTTTCAACTTTTATACAACTGATATTTGTTTCATACAAATTCTTCGATGTTTAGGGATCTAAAACTCAGAAAAAAATCTTCAAGTTTTTATGCTTAGATAATAATCTCTTGAAAAAAGATAGGGTAGTAATATCAGTGTGCCGTATAGCCGATCTGCTATAGATATTGTATGTAAAGTTAAATCAAAAAATCTTGCTGCATATAAACGAAAGATATATACAGCATCTTGGGGATGTGTATTTGGAAGTTCACTCGAGCTTCTTTTTAAAGGCTTCTTCATTCAGCATCCTAACTCCACTTACTTTTCAACCCTCTTTTTTGTTTTCTTATTGCTTTTACAACTATTTTATTTAAAAATATTCCATATTATATTTTAGATTTAAACGATTAATTTTTTTCCGTTTGGCTTTATTCTATAGGTCAAAAAGTACGGAACTCAAGTCGGAAGGTCGGTTTTTTAGCGAATATAAACCTTAAGCTTTTCACCTATCTTTGTATTCAGCTCTTTTTCCAAGCATCGAGGACGACAAGCATATCAAACTGTAGAGTTAGAGAGAGCTCTTCTTATGAAGGAAGACGTGAGAGCTAAACAAGAGTGGCTCTGAAAAATTGGAAGTCTATTAAATAGAGATCTACAAAAATTACTATAAAATAACGATAAAATTCGAATGAGTTTAATTCGCACAATTCTATTCTCTACTTTTTTTGTTGGTAAATTCTAGTTCTTGTTTTTGTAACTTAAGTAATTAATTATTTAACAAACTTCAAATTGGCAGAAAATTTTTATCTTTAATAAAATTCCCGACACACGGCGCAGTTAAATGAATAAAGGACAGACACTCAACTTTTTTCTCATCTTATCTCTGCTGTTGTTGTATCTCACGCTTGTACTATTGAAATGACGAGAGGAGATGAGGAAGAAAATCTACAACGTGCCTTTGCTTATAGAAATTCATAACTTATTTCAGTGAAGGCGATGGGTTAAAAAAGTTAACTAATAGTATTCTCATTTGTGAGCAGGCGTAAAAAAGACGCTTATTTCATGTAGTTTTTCGGTTTTTAAGGAGATAAAAAAATTCATTGAATGAAAGTTTTAGAATTAAATATGGATTAACTAATAATTCATGTCTTGTTTTTCCATTTTTATCATTATCCAGATACTGGGATAAACAGTGTCCTCTAAAGTACAGAATAGTAAATATCTTAACGATTCCACTATATAAGAAAAAAAGAAACAGCAAATGCAATTCCATTTAGTCCTTGTTAACATCGAAACTTTCATCCAGTGAATTTATACATCTCCTTCAGCACTCAAAAACTGAACGGTAGTCTGATAATTATTAATTTTGTGAATTCTCATGGTCTACGTGCATATCTTAAGGGTTTAACAGTTGAAAAATAAAAAAGCCTAGAAACATCGAGGTTAGTTTGAATGATGGTTTTGGCCGGAATGAATAAAGCTGCGGATTGACGTTTCTCTGAGTTATATACTAGATACCTGGCTCAGGGATTTGGACCAAAACCACACGAGCCGCAAATAATCTCTTCTATTATTTACAAAGAAAAGTTTCACAGCAGAATTCCGCGATGCCTATTATAGGCATTGTTGAATATTATTCAACAATGACGTATGTTTCCTAGTCTTGCACAATAGATAAATAAAAAGACAAACAAAACCGTAATGCAAAAAACAATAAGGCTACTCCGGAATAACAACAAAAGTCCGTGGTTTCATTTTAGCGCCAAACGTCAGCTGCACAAAATGGCTGACTTGAAAATTAAAAAAAGCATTATATTAGACAGAACTAATAAAAGCGACGTCATTGGATAAAACTTGGTGAATAAGTGTGTTGTGCATATATGTCACTTAGATCAAGATCAGTGTTTTTAATGAGTAGTGGGACATGCGACGGCAAAACGGGTTTCCACTTTGAATAATGAATTTTGGTTGTTTTCTACGCCCAGAAAAGTATATCCCACTTTGATTTCCATCTTACTTTTGACAATTTCCACTTTATCTTTTTTTCATATTTTCGCTTAGAAAACTAATCCATCGAACTGTGTTTCTTAAACACTTGTGAGCGAGTGAAGCAGTTTAATTTCTGTTTAATACTCTAATTTTCATCACAATACGAGATAAGTTTTCAACAATTTGTTTCAGTAAAATTTGTCGAAAGATTAACCCGCAAAAAAATACAGGGAGATTTCTTTTTGCTTTTGGTTTTTTCTTTCGGCTAAAGAAACGGGTCTGACGATATTTAAGAACACATCAAATGAGCCAAATGATTGACAGCAACCAATGAACATCAGAACGAAATAGAGGTCATTTTTCCTATACAATTTTTTTGTAGTGGCAAAATTTTCAAGAGCAAATTAATGAAGGCTTATCTTGACCTGTTACTTATGGTATGTGGCCATGATGCGATGACTCATCGAATCAAAAGCGGATTGCCGTATGCAGTAATGCACTTGGAAATCAAAAAAGTGATCCTCAGGCTAGCGAAACAAAAAGTAGTTTAAAATCTTCTTTAGG